TCAAAACCTCACACTACCAGTCGACCTACCGAATTCTCGCCTCACTGTTGATTTGGTTGATGCGTACAGCATTTTCTGCCTCACAGGTGTACTGTCCGGCACGTACACAATAAGTATCCACAGGTGCAGTGCAACTTCGCCCGCCTGTGTCTTGTCTGTGCGCATAAAGTAGTATCCCGCTTTCCCTTGTTCGATTAGCGGGACCAGTTTCGCTTCGTAATCAGCCTGGAAGTCGCCTTCTGTTTTTGCCGTATCCTTCTGCACCAGTTGTTCTGTGTATGCAGTAGGGTCAAGTGTGAGCAATTCGGGGGTCAGTTTTAGGGTCTGAGATCCGTCCTGGTATTTCGGGCGACAGCGCGATATGCTGCCCTAGTATTATTCAGTCCTGTGCTACACTAGACTGTAGAATGGGACGCGTCTCAGTAGCTTACGTCTGTGATAGGGTTACACTCCGCGCGTGCACTTAAGAGTGTGTTCTGATATAGCGAGTGTACAATTGGTGCAGTGCACCCCATTTCGTGAAAATTGGGTCTCAATTTGATGGGACTGGCGTCCGTCTGTATAACCCTTTTTGTGTGTGTGATGATAATGTGCTAGATTGTACTGATTTTGCATGTAAATTGAGACTGCAAGTAATCTTCAGTGCTAATCGTAGATTTGGAACAGATACGTAGACTGTGTTAGTCTCGGGGTCTCAATTTGACAGCTTACGGTTTGACCGAGGAAGAGTGGGCGGTAGGAATGTCAAAAGGCGGAGCTCAAATGTCATAGGGAAATGTGTGTGTGGTGGGTGGGGGCAAGACTAATCTTATTGGATAGAGTCGGTGTTACGTGGATAGAGGCTGTTGACATGAGGCAAAAACGAAAGCCACGGATTGTAAACTAATTAAACTAATTCCGATATAAATAAAAACCATTTCCGTTTGTACTGCAGAGTGGTGCCCTGCAGCAGACGGTCCACTGTGGTGTGTCGAGCACAGTAAAAAAATTAAACTAATTCCGATGAGTACATGTGTGCCTGTGCCAGTGGGTTGTGTCGTTGATAAGCGGTGAAGTGTGTGTTGCAGAAAGTCGTGGGAGGCAAAAAAGAAACCCACTGATTGTGAACTAATTAAACTAATTCCGATGAGCACATGTGTGCCTGTGCGAGTGGGTGTGCCGTTGATAAGCGGTGAAGTGTGTGTTGCAGAAAGTCGTGGGAGGCAAAAACGAAACCCACTGATTGTGAACTAATTAAACTAATTCCGATGAGCACATGTGTGCCTGTGCGAGTGGGTTGTGCCGTTGATAAGCGGTGAAGTGTGTGTTGCAGAAAGTCGTGGGCGGTTGACATGAGGCAAAAAAGAAACCCACGGATTGGAAACTAATTAAACTAATTCCGATGAGCACATGTGTGCCTGTGCCAGTGGGTTGTGTCGTTGATAAGCGGTGAAGTGTGTGTTGCAGAAAGTCGTGGGAGGCAAAAAAGAAACCCACTGATTGTGAACTAATTAAACTAATTCCGATGAGCACATGTGTGCCTGTGCGAGTGAGTTGTGCCGTTTATAGGCGGTGAAGTGTATTTGGAGAAAGTCGTGTTGACTTTGGCGGCGTTCGGACGACACCGCCAACTTCGGCACTAACAGAGGTAGGTGATAGTATTATGTTTTAGGGTTCTAGGGTTTTAGAGTTTAGAGTTTAGGGGATAGTATTAAACAATAACATACAGTATATGCATTGGTGGTATGTGGTTACGTAATAGCATTCACAAATAACCTGCGTTGTGACGGTGGTATGTGGGCTAAAGGGTGTACACGCCAACCCGACCACTACAACTACGAGCAAGGATGGGTGCTCTGCCTTATCAGTTATCAAGGGTACCTGGCGTAGGCGCAATGTAACCTCATGCAGACGCACCTATACACATAGTCTTCTCAAAAAACATACAAGGCTATGCTCTACATGTACATGAATACACATCACACACTAAGCATACAGCCTGTGCACCCAGTTATGAGCCAGATGCATAGCCCAATGCGAATGCTTATGTAAGTGTACCCGATAGATTGGATACGAAGTAACGTCCAAGATAATATATGCATGCACATACACAAAGACCAGTATTCCAGTCATTCAACTTTGTAGGAGTGGTGCATCCCCGCATATACAAAGATCAGTATTTCATCCATTTTAACCTTTTTAAATTGGTACGCCTTCATTGGGTCTTACCATTCTCGATTGTGATGTGTACTGCACGTAGAGTGTCTTCGCCCTCCAGTCGCAAAGACTGGAACGTCTTATTGAGCTCATCGTCCACTGCGATGGAAAAACAATAGCGAGCGCGAGATGAATACGTTTGTAAATCAACACACCAGGCTTGTTAGAAGAAAGGGAGGTACAAAAGGGACCATATGAGAGGTATAGGGTAGTCTGTTGCAGTCGATGCATATCGGTTTGCCAGACCAATATCTGAAATGGCGTCTGCTGCCGGCACAGATGCGCAGCTTGTTGAACGACCACGTTTACTTGAACAGTTAGTGACGAACCTAATGTTAAACTAGACATATGCAGAACAAGGAAGCACAGTCACGTACCAAACTAAAGAGCAGTATAGATAGGCCATACATGTGAGAGTGACCAAACCACATCAGGAAGGTAGACACCTATGGACAACAATATCTCAATAGCCAATGAATGTATGCACAAACACTCTACATACATTCATACACATACACACACATATATATATATATACATATGATATATA